TACTTTATTAAAACTTTGTGTATTTTATTTTTTTTTATTTTACATCAAGGTGTATGTGCCGTGCCTCCAAGCTTACTTATTCATTTTGCAAATAAATGTTCAATGTTTCTTATTTATTTGGTTCCACGGTGTTTGCTGATTTTCAGTTTTATATACCTATTTAAACTTTGTGTAGCCTAAGTAATTTGTTATTTTATTAGGCATATATGGTGTATTTTTATTGATTCAGTTTGACGCTGTTGTTGCATTAATTGGATCAACGCCCAATTGCCGCTAATTTGAAAGTGAAAGTAAAATGAAATTTTTTTTCAAGCTATTTGAAAGCCAAGAAATCAGAAGACAAGAGGGAAAACTCAAACGAACAATTGCGGCAGTTCAATTGCCGCTAATTTGAATGATCTGTGCTAGTCGCTGAGGAAATACATCAACTTTCACCGTGGATAAAGCGGAATCCAGCCCGGGGTCCGTCACATGTGTGTCTGAAACCGTCATTAAAACCAAACACACATTGTTGCCAGTATATTCACAATAAGTCTGAATGAAACTGACAGTTTGGTCATAGTAAAAAAATTTTCATTATTTGGGAAGGTCAATTAATGTGTGGGAGAACCTTTGAAGTACTAATGAATAATCTAATCAGTTTAACATCAGATATGCTCATCATATTATTGGTGTGAAATATTGATTAGTGATTATCTGAGTTTGAGATTACTAGCACAGGCAGATAACTATGCATGACTGGATGATTAAGTGTTAAAGGGGTCATATGATGCGATTTAAATTTTTTCTTTCTCTTTGGAGTGTTACAAGCTCTTGGTGCATAAAGAAGATCTGTTGCAAAGACTAAAGTCTCAAATCCAAAGAAATATTCTTTATAGAAGTTAAGAGTCAGCCACACCTACCTAAAATGGCTCGTTCTAACACGCCCCCACATACCTACCTCACTATGGGGGAAAATTTGCATAACGCCGCCCAAATGTTCACGCAAAGAAAAAAGGCGTAACTTTTAGTCTTGCTGTAGTATTGTTGACGCTGCAGCCATGTCCTGAAGACGCTGTGTGTTTCATTGTGAAAGCGAAACTACTTTGTTTGGTCTTCCAAAAGAGGACGATATCCGCTTCTTCATGCCTAGAGCTGATCTGTGCTAGTCGCTGAGGAAATACATCAACTTTCACCGTGGATAAAGCGGAATCCAGCCCGGGGTCCGTCACATGTGTTTGCCGCTCATTCGTCGGATCTCGACCCCGCCGCCTCAGCTCACTCTATCCTGGCCTCAGTGCACGCTAAGCTGGGGCTTCCCCTCACGCTAGGCCGCTGTGTTTTTCGTTATGAAAGCGAAACTACTTTGTTTGGTCTTCCAAAAGACTATGACTACAAATCAGTGGTATTTACAACACTGTTCCAGAACAGTTCAACCCAAATATCCAGATGTGTGCAGCACATTTTATGGAGGACTGTTTCCTGATCCTGGGAGAGTAATGTTAGACTAAAATGCCGGCGATTCTGACTCACGGAAGTACGTTTTCATTTAAATGATTTGCCACTGATGATTCAAACATCAGTTTTCGGCAGTGTAGAGTAGCACTTGTTGTTTGTCATTTCTCTGATCACAAATGCAGACAGTTTTATGTTTACGCGGCACGATGCAATGCAACGCAACGCATAAAAAGACAGTATAAGTCATTATAATCCGTAATTATGTCCCCACTGGATGCAACAAATGCCTCGTTTGTAATGGGTTTTAATATTTATGTCTCGTCGCTCCGGCTGGGACACGTCGTCAACAGTATGTGAGGGGCGTAACATTTCCGTCTCACACTTGAGGTATTCTGCCAATCACAGCGCATTAGATAGCTGACCAATCAGAGCGCACCTCGCTTTTTCAGACCGATGAACTTTGTAAAAATCGACACGTTTCAAAAAGGCAGGGCATAGAGGAGAAACAATAAAGTACAGTATGTGGAAAATAATGTGTTTTTTTAACTTATCCGCATAAACGCATTTAATTACACCAAATGCACAAAATAATGTTCTTTTTAGCAGCATCATATGACCCCTTTAACTAGAACCTTTGTCCATGTTAAATATTTATTCAAAATATAAATAATGTATATTTATATATATATATTTGATTTTTTTACATTTCAATTTTATTATATTATATAATAAATAATATATGATACAAGTATAATTAAAATAAATAAAAAATAATTGTTTAAAAAACAAACAATTACATTTTTATACTTTGATTATATAAAAAAACTAACAAAAACATACAAAAACACTTTTATACATGTATTTTATTATAAATAAAAGAAAATATATGTATAACAATATTAAAATCAAACAAATACATATAAATATACTAAGTAAATTAGATATTAATTATATTTTACATTTATATTTTAATTAAATCTCTAATATCGAATTTTAGCATCTGCATCAGTCATTGGAAACCCATTGATTGATTGACTAATTGACATGTCTTTTCCACACAAAATTGATTTACATTCACCAAACATGTTCATTCACACAGTTTCTGTTATCAGCATCAGCGTTACTCTTTTGTGCTGCTGTCACACATCATGGCTGGATTGATCTGTAAAGCAGTCGCTTATCTCCACTCTCTAGACAACATGTGACCTCCCATCTTTTGTGCTGAATTTAAAGGCAGAATCATACAGAATGAATCATGTGACAATAGAGATGCTGACCAGACGCTGAGTTCCCATATCTGAATCTATTCAGTGCTTTCAGTGTTTCCAGCCAGTGGTGTCTTTTGATGAAAGGCTGCCAAACATAACTTATAATAGGATTAATTAAATATGTTTAACACCTTCAGAATTATGCAACACATTTATCTAGTTTAACATTAAAGCTGTTTGATTTTCATTGAGTGTGATTTTAAAGATGAGGTGGAGCAGCACACATCAGCACATGATAGAGATTTCATTTATTCATAATCATAAATCAAATCCAGATGGTAATTTACAGTCTTTGCATGGTGACAATGAGCTTTGAATCTCTACAAGTGTTGAACTGTATCTAGCAGTGAAACGCATGAACAGATATTATTGCTTTTTGATGCATTTGAACCTAGAGGCGTAAAGTGTAATGCGTTCGATCTTAAAATACTCCAAATGAGATCAGGAGATGTTGTAATGTTTTAATTAGGGCTGTCAATTGAATCATTTTAAGTGGATTAATTATATGATGTGCTGATTAATTAATCAGAGATAATGGAATGCATCAATATTTGCACAGAAAAGCAGCAAAAAGAAGGCAATATATTGTCTTTTATTTAAGTATAGTTGATGCTAATTTGATAATTGATCTATTAATCCATAGCAATCCATTTTGCAGCCCAGGCTCATTGGAAATATGTTCAGTATCTCTTAAACAAAGTTTATTAAATTATTCTGGCTTAATTTCTCTTAGGAAGTTATATTACTCCACAAACTCTTTTGGAGAAACTTGTCTACCCTGAATTCATTTGAGATTTTTTTTAATCTAAAGAAAACCTATAAAACCTTTATATAGGTTTTTAAATTGCTCTTACACTATTTCAACAATGAAAAGCCAAGGAAGCTGGCATGGCGTTAAAACACCAACCAACCAGCAATCATTGGAAATACGTGACTCTGGCTACGTTTCTGCAAAACCAGAGGTACAATTTGCTGCAATATTGCCAAGCAATATAATTTTTTTTTCTCTATTGCATATGTGGGTTTATTAAACAGCCCAGTGTAATAAGAGAAGGAAAAACATTTGTGGGTACATTTTTGCAAAAGGATATTGCATTGCTTGTGTCATGTTTTACAGCAGATTCAAAGTGAAATAGTATTGTTTTTCAAGGTTCTCAGAAACCGTTAAAGTGTGACAGTAGTGCTAACAATAGGTCAACATAAGCAAACGTCACACAAAATGCATTTTCTGAATCAACCGTGCCATTGTAGCTCGTTTCCACAAGTCTTTGAGCTCTTTTATTGTGACTTGTATTTCACACAATGCTGTAGCGCTACCGAGCAAGTTTAAGTGATCAGAAAAGCCGTATGTATGAAGCTGGTTATGTGCTGCAAACATCAAAATGTATTCGTTTACAAATCATGCGCTATGGTAAGTGTTTTGAGGTCGTAACATAGTATTGTGCATGAAAAAAGTATTTATTAATCAATAATCTGCACCTGTAATCGTAATTTGTGTGAAAAGGAACGAAAGTTTTTGGTGGGCCCCATGAAAATTGTATTTTTCTCTAAATTCTGTGTTTTCGGTTAAATTTATTTTGGATTCTGTGTTTTATGATTGAATATAAATCATGTGTAATGAAGTTAATTAATAAAACTTCAACAATTTTAATCAATCTTTAAAAATGTAATCAAATGAAAATTTAACAATTACAACAAAACATTGCGCTTTTATTTTTGGTCAAATAAGATGCTGCACAACAGAGCTGGATGAAGTAAAACATGGATGGAAAAAATATTTAGTTTGTATGGTGTTCTTACAAATAATTATATTATTATTAGTAATTTCAGAAGTACATTTAGTATACAATAGTGATATATTTCTGTCATAATTTCTTCAAGTTAAACCAGACTTTTATTTTGGTGGGTTGTCATGAAGGTCTTTCAGTTTTAGTTTCAGTTTGTATTTGACGGTAGTTTTTCTCACATTAAACAGTGAAAAACTGGTGAAGTGACTCTCTGGAGGGGAAGTTCATGGGTTCATGTCCTCATGTTGAGACACAGACTCAGAAAACACTGTGTGTTTGAGTTTGTACTGTATATCAGAGGAAACCGCACCATTCATTCACACAGAGACACATTAGCTTATTAGCCACCGACTGACTGTTTTCACGCTTATTTCTGCCGTCATCTGCCAATATATCTTGATCTCGATACGATTTCTTTGATATTATTGATCTTTATTGTGTGTTTGTTTGTAAAGTAGCATTATTTTTTTGGAGATGTTAATATAAGGCGTTTGTTCTCCTTGGTTAGGTTTTCTCCAGCTCGCCGTGAGCAGAAGTGTCTCTCGTTCTCCCGCTCCATTCTGTGATGTCACGGTACCATCAGCGTTTCGAGCGGGATTTCCGCAGCGTGTGGGAGCGGAGGGAGCGCTGCGCCTCCAACAGCAGCTGCGGCGGCACAGTTAACGGCTGCGTCTCCACCTCTGCCTCCTCTATCCCCAACAGTGGCAACAACCGTCCCGGCCTCCTGCCCCTGCCCGTCATCCCCTCGCTGCTGCCCACCCCGGTCACCGGGGCAACGAGCACGGCCAATAGCGAGCTGACCTGCAAGCGATTAGCCTCCACCTGCACCACCTCTGCGACTAAGGTAGGACTGAACACACCTGCAGCTGCTCTCTCTGACTAATTTACTCACCCTCATGTCATTCCAAACGGGTATAATTTTCTTCTCTGAAACACTATTGAGAGATGTTCCCACTTCAACGGTAGTCGATGGTAATTCACACTGCTAAGGTCTAAAAGGGACAAAACAGCCCATGAAAGTGTCCATATATGATTCATGCAGATTGTATTTTGAAGTTAATGTGGTCAAATTTGATGTTGACTTTGAAGCGGTGTTATTTTGGTAACAATGAGGTACTATTATAGTTTTTATTAGTATTTTTAATTAGTTTTAGTTAAAGTTTTAATAGTTTTATGTAGTGGTCGACCGATATATCGCCAAGGCCGATATATCGGCTGATATTCGGCATTTTTCAAATATATGCGTTCTATTTGGGACTTTTATTTTGACGGTGCTGAGAGTGGCAGCGCCTGCGCGCACAGTGCTCACATTCTCCCTCTTGTTCGCCGTCGTCATTAACATTTCTGTCCACGAACAGAAGTCTGTCTAAAAATCCGATAGATCTGTTAAACAAAGGAATTAAAATGTATTCAAAAAGTATTATAACGATTGCTTTTATATTATTGTAATAGAAAGGCAAACATTATAAAACTTTCTCATTTGCTGTCAGCTTTCAGCAAATACGCATTTACATCATTTGAACAAATCTTTGAATGGCTAATGAAAAAAATAATTTCACAAACCTTGCAAACTTTGCAAACTCCAGTTGTGAGATCTTGTGAAGTGTGTATGTGACCTGCATGATCGCGTGTTCTCTGCGTGACTTTTGGTCCGTGCAAGAGTGTTACCTTGGCTTTAATTATAAAACTTTCTCATTTGCTGTCAGCTTTCAGCAAATACGCATTTACATCATTTGAACAAATCTTTGAATGGCTAATGAAAAAAATAATTTCACAAACCTTGCAAACTTAGTCAAATCCAGTTGTGAGATCTTGTGAAGTGTGTATGTGACCTGCATGATCGCGTGTTCTCTGCGTGACTTTTGGTCCGTGCAAGAGTGTTACCTTGGCTTTATTTGAAAAAATATGATTCCCAATGCACACAAACTTCCCAGAATACTGAGTGCTCTGTTGATTACAGTTTACTTCCTTTTTAATTATATTTTTATTAAATATTTATTTATTTGTGAAAAATACGTTGTCATCTAAAGTATAAGTATGTTTATTTTACAAATTTATTTTTTAATCTATTTTCAAATGATTTCAAATTTCTTAAATATTAATTAAAATAAATACAATTATATCGGCTTTTTGTCAGCCATCGGCAACCTTGCTTTCCAAGATATCGGCATCGGCTGTCAAAAAAAAATAATATCGGTCTTTTTTCGTATACATTTTTAATTTTAGTTTAATTTGAGTAATTTGGTTGTCTGTTTTTATACTTTTTAAAATACATTTTTATTTCAGTTTGAGTTATTTTAATACATCAGGTTAAACTAAATAAAAGTGAGAAATTTTGCCTTACCTTAAAAATATTTAATAATAATTTATGATTTTGTTTTATTTCAGTTAAACTTTGCCGAATTATTTGATTAATTTATTAATGAAATAATAAAACTGAATTAAATTATTTTATTTCAAGTAACAATTTTAGTTTTAGTAGGAATTTCATTAGTCCAGCAGCATAATTGCATGATTAATTTGACTAATAATTCCCATTTATTCTCTGATTAGATGTAAAAGCTATTTGGAAGGCCTTGGTAAATTAGACTAGTGATTCTCAACTGATTTTGCTTCAGGATCCAGATATTGCAATAAACATCACATCAAACGTAGTTTTTATTGCACAGAAGTAAACCAAATTGCTCAAAAAAAACAAACATTCAAATCGTTTGAACTTTGTCTAGGTGGTATTTAGGGATATTATAGTTTTTCTCGATTGCTTAAACACATTTCTTGAAACTATGCCTCGTATTCTCAAAACAGTAAACACAAATCCATAACGTCTCACCCAATTCCCCAAACATCCTACTTTCAGGTCAAAATGAAGCTCTACACTCAAAACCATTCACTCTTGCTAAAAAAACAAACTTTTCCCTCAGACATCACACACAGGCTTTCAAAAACACACACACTACAACATAGTATTACACACTGGTGCAATAAATTCAAAACAATATATCCAAAACTGGTAAGTTATGTTGCTTGTGGTTCTCCCCCTCAAAAACCTTTTCACATGAACACAAAAGACACAACCAATGTATACATTGGCACATTTTTATTCATTCATGTACTACACAGCACAACTGTAAAAAAAAATAAAAAAATAAAAAATGATTCCGTTTCAGCATCCCGTCTTTGTTCTGGGTCAGGCCAGAGAATCTCGTCCACATCACAGGCTATATTGGCCCTAGCCAGGCAGCGAGGGTAAAATCCTCTTGCATGCCTGGTCCACCCCTGGCATGCATCTACTGATATGTCTAGGCAGGCTTCTTCCATGGCCTGGAGGAGGTGAGCACGGATATAAGGTTCTCGGTCATACACTTTCAACCGCCATGCCGAAAAAACCTCCATCTATCGGGTTTAGAAAGGGAGACTATGCAGGCAGAAAGATGTTAGAAAACCTCGGGTTATTGGTAAACCAGTCACGAACCAGAGCAGCGCGATGGAAGCTGACATTATCCCAAACAACAATGTAACGAGGCTGCTCTGGCTGTGCTGGTTCCAAAACTCATACCTGAACATATTCCACTCGTTGGTCTTTCACTCTGTCAGAGTTTTGTTCGAAAGGGACGCGGTACGCCGGTTTCATCCGGAACTGGTGCTTTCGGAGGATACGATCAATTGTGGAGAGGCTGATGGCATTTATCCCTAGAAAATGATGATTTTCCTCAATCACTCTCCTTTGAATCTCTCGCAGGCGGATTACTTTATTGGCAATGACCATGATTACAAGCTCCCTCTCTTGCTCCTCCGACAAAAGCCTTAGTCTGCCTCCACCAGGTGGTTGTCTCTGTGTCCTACAAAAATAGAAGCACTCATTACTGTAACTGTCACATCCTTTTTACAGGAAAAAATGGAAACATACTGAAACTCTATCTGTATGCGAGGCAATTTGATGCATTTCTTTATTACAGTAGCATAGTGCAACAGTGTATGCACTCTAAAGTTACTGTACAGAGCAGTCTTACTGTAAGTGCACCTACCTGTTTTCCTCCTAGAAATATAGGGATTTGTGTGTAGAGTTTTGCAGTAACAGTTCACCGAATCTGACTCATGTGTTAAAGCAGGGGAATAGTGTTTATAGTTAAGCAAAATGGGTGTGCTTTTTGAAAAATGGCGTTATGGCTATGGTTATGAACTTTTAGTTCAAAAGCCTGGTTATAGTGTTTTAGCAATCGAGAAAAACTGTAATATGTTGACATCTGTCCATTGTGACTTGGAGTATGTATGTTTGTGTATGTATATAAGTATATAATCAAGTATAGTTAATATAGCTAAATAAACTGACTTTTTTTCTTTGTATGTTGCTGTTCGTTTGGAGCATTTGATTTTTTCCTCAATTTGGCTTGTATAGGTAAAAATAAACCGCGATGAACTGGGATTTCCTCAACAGAAATGTATTTGTTATGTATAATGACCAATTTTGTCCTTGGCTTGCTGCTTCAATTCAAGGGATTTCCTCAACAGAAATGTATTTGTTATGTATAATGACCAATTTTGTCCTTGGCTTGCTGCTTAAATTCAAAAATTCAGTTTGACTGAATTGATTTCAGGGGCTTTTTCTGTTTTTTTGGATGAAGCCAGACATCAGAGAACAGGGCCGTTGACTTTGAGACCCGTGTATTTTTCACGGTGTCATTCACAGATATAGCAGTGTCCCTCGCAGGTCTGGAGAGCTGTGACCCTTTTAAGAGCTGCGTCTCCTTGCTGTTGAAAATCATCTGCAGCCACATGCTCACAGAATTCATCTCAAGGAAAAGCCGCTCCAGCCTGAAGCTTTTTCAGCGGCCAAAGGCACAAACTGAAGGCCAAGAGTTCCGCCTTTGAACCATCAACAAGAGCAAGACATGGCACTTGGGAAGCTTCTTTCTTATAAAAACTCGCCTCGGTTCCCATCAGCAGGAGACCACCGCAGATTCCCATCTCTGAGGATGTTTTTAAAGATGCCGCAAGCCTTAAGGAATCGCAAACTTACTTCACAAAGCAACGGTCCTGACAAATGATGGATCATCGGTTGCTGGCGGCACGGGAGGGAACGCTTCTGCCGGGTGAGAAAGAGGCTTCTGTGTTGACAGCAGAGATAGGAATAGCAAATAAGAGCATGACAGTTTGGATGCTGTATTTGGCTTTGTGAGAGGCGGAGAGCGATGCTGTCCAACGCCTGGCGGATTAGGATTGTGGAGGACAGCCATCCGCTCGAATGGAGATGGCTTATTTGACTGCGAGCCGTGATCCTGTGCGCACACCGCCGGATGGAGGATGAGCAGAAGCATGCTGTCGTTGTTAG